CAACACCACCACCACCACCACCACCACCACCACCACCACCACCAACACCAACACCAACACCAACACCAACACCAACACCAACACCACCACCAACAACAACAACAATAATAACAATAACAATAACACTAACAATAACAATAACAATAACAATAACAATAACAATAACAATAAGAAGAAGAAGAAGAATGATAATAATAATTTTGATGAAATCGTAGTAATAAAGATAGTAATAAGAACAACCAATAAAAGCTCGGCCTCGCACTGTTCGGCCTCCGACTCCGACTCCTCGTCGCTGCTTTTGATGGCCTCCGGGGAGTCGTAGAAAGCCACCTAGGTGTCGATGAGGTTTTAGGGTTTAGGGTTCAGGGTTCTTTAGGCATTAGGACTTAGGTTTTCAGGGTTTAGGGTTTAGGTTTTTTTTTGGGTTTGGGGTTCAGGCTTTTGGGGTTTAGGGTTTTGGGCTGAGGGACTCTATATTCAACAATACGGGAAGTTGAACATTATCTCCACTCGATACCTAGCCACGCTGTCGTCGTCGCCTCTGTAGCCACAAGCGGGGCAATAGAAGGCGTCGGCATCCAGCTGCGCCTGGGCTCGTGCTGAGGCTCAGGAACTGAAACCATGGAACTTTCCGTCCCCTAAGGCTACGGTTTAGGGTTTAGGGTTTAGGGTTTAGGGTTTAGGGTTTAGGGTTTAAGGGTCCAAGTAGTCCTTATTTATGGTTTTAAGTACCACAAAAGGCCCCAAAGTCCTTCAATAATGGGCACTTGGACCCTTAGGGGTCTGATTGAGCCTCAGCACAGTTATTCTGGTAATGCTTCTGACTGATTAAGTCATCTTACATCCCAAATTGCTGGAAATACATTACATCAGCTTGCATCAATGTTGGAAATGGAAAGCAAAATTTATGCCCCCTACTAGACCCTAAACTCAACACCCTAAACCCCTAAACCCTAAAGGCCCTAAACCCTCAACCCCTAAGCCCTAAACCCCTTAAACCCTACACCCTAACCCCTAAAAGCCCTAAACGTCAGAACCCAAACCCGCCCTGGCCTGGTGCAGTTCGGCGCAGACCTGCTGGCGGCTCTTGCGGCCCTGCCCGGGCCGTGCGTACCAAGTGTCCCAGAGCCTGCGTAACATAAACGGGATTTCATTGAAGATACTGCAATAGAGATAATTTGAAGTTTCTTTAAAAAGAATATCATTGAAGTCATTGAAGTTACTATGACAGAGATTTAATTGAAGTTACTTGAAAGGGATTTCATTGAAATTATTATAATGGAGGTTTGACTGAAGTTAACTGAAGTAACTATAAAAGGGATTTCGTTGAAGTTACCATAATAGCGATCTAATTGACGTTACTATAAATGAGATTTCGAGGTTATTACAATAGAGACTTAGTTGAAGTCATCATAAAAGGCATTTCATTGAAGTTACGACAATAAAGATTCATGAGGCCTTGGACAATGGGCGAGATTCAGTTGAAGGGACAATAACTGGGATCCATCTTCTTGTTCGAAGGGCCAAATTGCAGACAGTTACGTTGATAGGGATCCATTGTACATAGCGGTCTTTCCTTGATATGCTACCTTGAACTAACTTCCTTAGCAAGAGCCCTAAACCCTAAGAGCCCAGGAGCGTGTTGATGTGCTGGCCGTGGTCTGAATGCACGTAATCATCGAAGAGCAGGCACTGGAGCTGCACCAGAACAGCTTCCACGCTGTAAGAGGGACTCCAACCTAGGTCATGGTTGAGAGAGAATATAGAGAGTTTAAGTACTCGTAAAGATGCAAAATATTGCAAACATGTTACCCAACTATGACAAAGCAACCCTCGTGCCTCCCGGAGTGGGGTTTCATCTCTAGGAGATCTGTGCAAAGGACATACTTCCCACGAGCTGGGCTGCTCCCCCGCCAATAGCTGGCCCATGCCAAAGATGTGCTCTGGAGGAAGTCCCGGAAGACGTTGGCGTGCGGAAGGAAGTTGTAGAGCTCGACTTTCGGGGGCTTCCTGGGATAGTCCTCGGGCAGGAGGAGCACCATGTGGATCCGCAGCCCACTGAAGTGGCCGGAGATAGGGCTCATGGTGACGTGCCACTCGTAGATGTTGTCTTCCATTACCCGCACGTCAATGCCAGGGATCCCACGGCGACGCAAGTCATCGAAGTCCTTGAGGAGGCGGTACTGCACGAGAACCTTCTCCCGGTTGTGCAACTCGGGCATCTTCGGGCGCAAGCACGGCTTCTATGCGACAGCTAGTGATGGATGCATGTGACAAAAATGAGCTGGAGCCAAGATGGCAGCATCAGATAGCGACATTCGGTTCAACTGTCGCAAGGACTGCGGATATCCCTGCACATGCACAAGCTATCTCCTTTTCTCACAGAGTTCTCCCAGCTTTGCGTCCTTGCGGCGTTGCCCCAATGCAAAGCCAGCCGCAGGGCACGGATTCCTGCGGAAAGCGGCTCGAGGAAGCCCACGCTCGAAGCTGCGGAAGCTGAATTCCCACACCCTCCCCAACCCTTAATAACCCTATAACCCTAAAATCCTATATATCAATCAGCAAACCCTAACGCCTAACGTCCTAGCATCCCGAAGCTCGAGAGTCCTAGAGACGCTATCGATCTCTCTATAACATCACGCATAGGGTTTAGGGTTTAGGGTGCGTTGCATCCCTGAGCAAGAGAGAGGGGACCTGAAACACGCGCGACTGTGTATTCCAAAATGACGGGGCCTAATTAGGGCTCTCCTCTGACGCCTAGTTCCCCAGCAGAAACCACCACTGCAGGGGCTTATAAGGATCAGAATGGGGCGTTGGAGCATATTCTACTATAATAAGGAAATATATGCCCCAAAGCCCTATTCTGATTATTATGGGGCATATTATGATACTATAATGAGGGACCCCCCAATAGCATTGGCACTGAGAGGAAGAGGAGGCTTGAATCTTCGGCTGTTGGCAGCCTTTCGAAGCGACGTGACGGAATCTCAAACTTGGGGGCTAGATTCTAGATACCTTGTTGAGGGATCCTTATATGCAGGATCCTACTGCCTGAAGGCTGGACTAGGGTCCATGCTGTGCTGAATTCCGCTGGAGCATCTTCAAAATCCAAACTAACCAATCCAGAAACATTGCTTCTACTGCTTCCCTAGCTGTTAACAACAACAGCCTAACCCCGAAACCCGAAAGACACGAAATCCCAAGGCCTTCAAACTCCTAAACCCGAAACGTAAAAACCTAAACTCTGAAGCACATGCCTTAAAACCTTGAAGCCCTAAATACCAAAACGCCAACTCAAAAATCCCAAAAGAATCACAAAGCCTAAACACCCAACACATCACCGACCCTTAAACGAATCTGAAGCATGTCTCAATGGTCTATTTAGTCAGCCACCACAAACCCTACACCCCCAACCCCCCAACGCATATGGCTACTAGATAATAGTGCCTAATATCCTTCAGCTCCGCCCACTTTTGACACTGAAGGACTGCTCAAAATCCTTCAGCCCCACCCGCTTTAGCCCTGAAGGATTGCCTAATCCTTCATGCCCACTTCTCTTGACCCTGAAGGATTGCCCCCAATCCTTCAGCCCAACCCTGCTTTTGACCCCGAAGGATTGCCCAAAATCCTTCACCCGCTTTTGATCCCGAAGGATTGCCCAAAATCCTTCAGCCCCACCCGCTTTAGACCCCCAAAATCCTTCAGCCCACCCGCTTTTGACCCTGAAGGAATTGCCCACAATCCTTCAGCCCCCAAAAACCTTCAGCACCACCTGCTTTTGACCCTCACATCACCCCCACCCACTGTTGACCTTGAAGGACTGACCAACATCCTTCAGCCACACCCGCCTTTGACCCTGAAGGATTGCCCAAAATCATTCAACCCCACCCGCTTTAGAGCCCGAAAATCCTTCAGCGCGACCCTCGCTTGACCCTGAAGGATTGCCCAAATCCTTCAGCCCCAACCGCTTTTGACCCTGAAGGATTGCCCAAAGTCCTTTACCCGCATTGGCCCTGAAGGATTGCCGCTTGTGACCCCCCAGAATCCTTCAGCACCACCCGCATCCTTCAGCATAACCCGCTTCGGCCCTGAAGGATTGCCCAAAATGCTTCAGCCCCACCCGCCTTTGACCCTGAAAGTTTTCATGCAGCACACTGGAATTGTATATTTCCCTTACTCCTTGCAAACCACCAGTCAGAGTGAGTTTCAGAAGGTGAGGTTAAAGGCATGCATCCAGAGGCTC